TACTACATTACAGGAGTATGTGCTATTGGACCAGTAGTTTTAAAAGTTGCTCTTACAACTCCCCACAGTTCAGGTAAATTCACCTGACCAGCATCTCAGAGTCTTCGACTCCACTCACAGGAGGTGGCGTCAGGTGTGTTCCTCCCCAGTTGATGAACTGCTAGCTAGCATCAGCTGTGAAGAAGTGGGATTTGTCAGGTGTGGTAATTTCACAGTTGTATCTCGTTGTTTCAGTGTGACACACTGTCATCCTCGGGACTAATGTGTGCGCGTGCTTGTTTCAGCGTGGTGAATTACTCAGTCACAGCCGTGTCAGAGGCCAGCGGCGATGCTGGAGACTTCTTCTGCGTCAGACAGGAAGAGCTCAGCTATGGCAAGAAAATCAAAGACTCATTGTATCCATGGTAACGCATACACCTGAGTGGCTGTCTGTCAGCGGTCTGCCCTTCTACTACACTGTCCTCTCTGTTGCTCTTCCTGTCTCTTCTTTCACTCGTCTTCTCTGTTAACATAGAGGACAGCCGAACACTGGCTTCAGTTTTTGGATGTTTTCTGTGTCAGGTTGTTACTAACTCTGTCCGTCTTTGTTTCAGTGACTGTGAAAGCCGGGAAGTTCTCACACTGTTGTGCCAAGGTAAGATCGCAGATCTCCACTCATTCTGTCTGACACACTGGCCCACTTTATACACCGACACCCAACACCAACACTGTTTTCACCCCAGTGTGTAGAGCTCCCAGACACGGTCTGTTCTTGTCTTCTTTCTACTAATCTCACATGTATTTATTAAGCTATTGTCTGCTTTGTTTACTTTTTTAAATGGTGCTATTCTCATTGATTTCTTGTCCATAATATATCAGTCTTTCAACTAGAGTTTAAAAAGTAACTGGTCTTTTTCCTCACTGTTACTATCTTAAACCAGACTGCGGCAGACGTAGTTTTGCGGCAGACCGTATAGTGGGTGGTGTGGACGCCAGGCACGGCAGCTGGCCTTGGCAAGTCAGTTTGCAGTACGATGGTGTTCATCAGTGTGGAGGATCCATTATCTCAGACCGCTGGATTGTTTCTGCAGCTCATTGCTTCCCAGAGTAAGTGAAACAGATAGATTTAACACAGAAACAACAGCTTGATGGATTATTGTAGCTTTTTGGAAAATCCAAGGCATACATGAAAGTTTAATAAATTTGTACAGACAGTTTGAATGAAACTGTAATTTTACTTCTATGAAAAGTTCATTTTCAACATAGCTGTGTGTGTATTTTGCCCTCGCCACATAGGGACAATCATCAGACTGCTCTGCCTGCTGTTTTGTTTAACGTAGTGTTTGCATGTAAATTTAGATGTTTGTGTGCATAAAAAACACATCACAGCTCGCCTATTTCTGCTCTTCTAATGCTAGGCGGTATCGCTTTGTTAATCGCTGGCGTGTGCTGTTGGGCTCCATCTACAATAAACCTGTCAATGCCAACGTAGCGGAGGTTAAGACCATTGTTTACCACAGCAGCTACCTGCCCTTTGTAGATGCTAACATTGACGACAACAGCAGAGACATCGCTGTCCTGGCCCTCACTCAGCCTCTCACTTTCAATGGTAGGACGCATTTGCACATCATCAAAATCTGCCTGGTTTCAGTAACTTACCTCCTAAATTTGATCCAACATAATTATTTCAGGATAAAAAAAATTGCAACTGTTGATTGTTTCTGATGCTTTAGGGTGACACTAAAACTTAAACAAGCACTGTGTGCAGAATATTTGACACATTTTAAAAACATATATATATATATATATATATATACACACACACACACACACACACACACACACACACACACACACACACACACACATCTTGGTAATGTGATAAACTAGAATTACTATAATCAATTAGTTACAAGATTTTAGGGGGGGAGAAAATAAATTTCAGAGCATAAACAGTATTTATACTGAATAAAATACTGGAAAAAGTATCAAACAACTCACTCAAAATTCTGAAATATGAAATATTTAATCACAGGTTTTTAAAAATCTAATGTGACGATACCTTATAGGCACTGAACTAATTACTTCAATTACTCTAATTGAGAAAGACTGCAGATAGGAGATGAAGTGCGTCAGATACTGTTACATCTCTGTGCTGTCATCTACTACAAGTGTTATTCCAGTACATCGTGTCTGACATCTAGTGTTCAACATTTATAACTGCAAAAAAAGAAAAGAAAAGATGGAAACACTTTGGGTGATGTCAACAAGCAAGCATGAATGAAAGGGGAACAGCTGAGGGGTTAGGGGGAATCAAGTAAGAGGGAAGGTAGGAATGGCTGGCTTTCTTCAGGGGGTGACATGAGTTAATGAAATGTGACAAAATCAACTGCCTGCTATTTTCATTAAATGTATGCATTTGTTTTGTTAATAAATATTTGTTTGTGTTTCATGTTTGTCTCTGTGTGTAGAATACATCCAGCCTGTTTGCCTACCTGCATATGGCCAAAGGCTGATAGATGGACAGATGGGAACAGTGACAGGCTGGGGAAATGTAGGGTACTATGGTGAGTATACGTTACATTAGTTATTGATAAATTTGGTAATATTTCTATAGAACGTCGTCTTCTTGCATTCAGTCGTTGTTTTTGTATTTAAACGTATCATATTTTGCATGAATACTGCGGTGCACTAAATAACAATAACATAAATATAATGGGAAAGGTTTCAGTAGCGTGACGATAACAACCATTCATACGTGACTGTTTATATTCAGGTAAAAACACAGTTGCTCATATTTAAATTTTGATCATTCTAAACTATAGGCCATCTAGCAGATGTTCTACAGGAAGCCAATGTCCCCATCATCAGTGACGCCGTCTGCAATGCTCCTGACTACTACGACAACCAGATCACTACTAGTATGTTCTGTGCTGGCTATGAGAAAGGAGGCACTGATGCCTGTCAGGTCAGATTGTGCTCATGCAGCATTTCTGTCTACTTTTGTTTAGTCTGATAAGTCCTTCTTTTACTGGCATGAATATAAATTGGCATACTTACTGGTTTGATGTTATATCAGTGTCATGCATGTGATTTTCTCTTATATTTTCCCATGGGTAGTTAAAATGTGAGTGTGTGTCTGTTGTTTTAGGGAGATAGTGGTGGACCCTTTGTGGCTGAAGACTGCTTGTCCAAGACCACTCGATATCGTCTGCTAGGAGTAGTGAGCTGGGGAACTGGCTGTGCCATGTCCAAGAAACCTGGTGTCTACACAAGAGTGTCCCGATTTCTGCCCTGGATATCCTCAGCCATGAGGGTAAGAGTCCTGCCATTTTTCATTTCATCGGACACAGCATAAAAACTGTCTGTGCAGCCCCATCCACTCAGCCAAATCTCCTTCAGTCCCAGCACTTTCGATCTTAATTGTTTGCAACATGTGATGTTCACTTGTGCAAGAATGAATCACTTGCAGGGATGGGGTTGGGAAGTGTGAACACATCTAATTAGCATCTGAAAAGGAGTGACTACATTCGCTCACATTCTGTCACTGGAAGAAGCCACCAAGAAAAATCACTTGTGATTTGTCATAAATACTGATCCACTGGTATACAGGCGTAGGTAAACACCTTCATAATCACAAGTCTGTGTCAAAAGAGACTTGTCAGAAGCCTCTGGACTACACATTCCTGATTTACATTTGTATTGCAGTTGCACTATATTGCATTGATAGAAATCATTGACTTCAGGTGTCAATGATTCTACTTTTATGGCCACAGGTGTGTAAACCAAGCCCCGAGGCATGCAGACTTCTACAAACATTTGTGAAAGAATGAGTCGCTCTCAGGAGCTCAGTGAATTCCAGTGTTTTATTGTGATAGGGTTCCACCTGTGCGGCAAGTCCAGTTGTGAAATTTCCTCTCTATTAAATATTCCACAGTCAGCTGTTAGTGATATTGTAACAATATGGAAGTGATTGGGAAACAACAGCAACTCTCTTTGGGGGAAAGAAGATTATGGCATTGGGTTGTTTTTCAGGAATTGAGCTCAATTTCTTAGTTCCAGTGAAAGGAAACCTTAATGCTTCAGCATACTGAGACATTTTGGACAATTTCATGCTCCCAGCTTTCTGGGAACAGTTGGGGATGGCCCCTTCCTGTTCCAATATGAATCTGCACCAGTGCACAAAGTGAGGTCCATAAAGACATGGATGAGCGAGTTTAGTGTGGAAGAACTTGACTGGCGTGCACAGAGTCCTGACCTCAACCCGACAGAACACCTCTGGGATGAATTAGAGTGGAGACTGTGAGCCAGGCCTTCTCGTCCAACATCAGTGTCTGACCTCACAAATGTGTTTCTGGAAGAATAGCCAAAAATTCCCATAAACACGCTCCTAGACGTTGTGGAAAGCTTTCCCAGAAGAGTTGCAAAGGGTGGGCCAACATCATATTAAACCCTATGGCTTAAGGATGGGATGTCCCTCAAGCTATTGTGCATATGAAGGCAGACAAGCAAGTACTTTTGGCAATAATGTTCCCAGACCTACGAACTGGTGGGTTTACTTCTGACATCCTCAGGCCTGTAAATCTGCAGTTGCACCCAAGACTATATATTTATGTTTCCTGTGAGCAGAAAGTGCAAATATGCAAATGCAGCTGAAACTACTGGATCAGTTAGTAATAATAAAGTAGATTTTTATAGCACCATCAGCATGATCTCATACACACACAAACACACACGCGCAAAAACACAATAAAGAGCAAAGTCAGCTTGAATAAATAGGCAAGCATAAAACTTAAAACAACACTCACTTTATCTCACAAAGTGTTTCATGGAGTGGCACAGTGGTGCAGCAGTTAAAAACCTGTTTTATGGTATTGCTTTTAGGTATTTGACTAGGGAAAGGGGTATGCAACTATTGCAAACATGAATATGTGCCGTCCTCCATGGACCCTCAATGTGGTTGAACATTAACTGGTTGAAAAGTGGGCTGGAACAGTGGTGTTCACCACAAACGAGAGAAGCGCGAGAGACATATCAAAAACATAAAGCATGAAAAGAACAGACACAATGGACACTATTTCACTTCTGCTCTTTCTGTGTTTTAACTTTGCTCTTCTCTGCTGCTGGCAACGACCAATAACAGCACTAACAAGAGTAGTCCACAGGCCAGTCATGTATGACCATAATCAGCTACAACATGTAGACTGCAGTCCTCAGAGCGGTCTCTAGGATGTGACCACCATTGAACCATGTTGATGCCTGAACATTGCCACAAAGTTCTTGGTTAAATCCTGCTGGTTGCTTCTTCTTCACGATTTTCCAGAACCCAACAATATATTTGTCGGGTTAATTTCAAACTGGCAGCAGGTTTGGATAAGAGAATGATTTCCCGCAGCTTTGTAATGGATTTGCTTGTCATCCTATGTCAACTGTGACAATGATTAAGAAAATGGATGGATAATTGTGTGATAAAAAAAAGAAAGCTACTGCTGTATCTCAGAGGCTTGATGATCTCCTGAGAGGAAAAATTGAGACGCTAAAAGGAAAGAATGGACTGTTGTACATCAGCTTCATGCCATACTGTGATAGAGAGGCTCAGGACCAGTTCAAAAGAGCATTTCCTTTTAATTTCAGCTCTGCCGTTCTAGTCCCCCCCCATGTATACAGGTCAGTGGTAGTGTGGAGATTGACTTGAGGTGACATTCAGTCAGAGATTTAATTCATTTCATTAGGCCACAGTCACACGGAGGATCTCATTATCCACGCGGTGATGTTCTGGACTTTCAGCTAGAGCGTCGTCCAAAGGAGACAAGTCTGTGTCATCGGGCGAGCTCAGTCTGTCAAAACACAAAGCAAATACATCATAAAACATACAGCAGGTATTTAAACAGAATAATGTGTCGCATGCTTTTGTTTTTAAACTTACAGTTCTTCAGTTTTGTAACTAGTGCAGTCGTTCTCAAAGTTGTGATGATTCATAGCTCTCTATAAAAAACACACCAAGACACAAACTGGATTCTAATCTTTTTCATCTATATTCTTATAAGGAAGCTTGAGTGCTACGCAGTAGTTAATAAAACCATCACCCAACCTGGGGGATAAGATGCTCTTTGAAATGTTTCTTTGCTGCATCTGGATTGTATGCGTTTGGAGGATTTCTGTCTGAATCCGGTCCAATATGCAGACGTCTGTGATGTGTAGATGTGTATTTTGGATTAGCTTCCAATCTAGCCTGAAGAGTCGCACACAGATCAGTGAGTTCTTTGCTTCGAAAGGAAGGAGGCCTAACAATCCACCCAGCCACCCCTTCAACAGCACCATCCTCCTCATCGGACATCATATCAATTGTTACACCCCTCCAGAAGTCCAGTTCATCTGCACTGAGGACTCCCTGCCTGGCTTCCAGCAGCTGTAAGCAGAGGCAGTACATACAGTTGTGGATGTGCAACCTCTGTGTGGTGACAGTTTGTGCACTAATGTGACTGAAAAACAGTGCAGCAGTACTGTCAGTGAGTTTAAATCACATCAGATAACTTTACCCTTTTCCTTCTCTGACGGCTGCGGGCTGCAGTCTTCATTGCTTCAGCCTGGGCTGCAAGGTCCGGCTGGCTGTAGCGGAAATTCCTGCGTATGGTCTCATAGTATGTTTTACAGGCAGCTGGAACCATTAAGAGAGCATGTCACAAACCTGGAAACAGACAAAGCTACAGTAAAAGAGTAAAGCACAAACAGTGCTTACATAGAATGGCATCTCTAGCCACGTTGTGCAAATCCGGACTTTCAGCCAGAGCTTGGACCAAATGAGACGTGACTGCCTCATTGTGAGGCGAGCTCAGTCTGCGAAATCCAGATGTTTACACGTCAGCGATCACATTGAGATATTTAAGTATATATGTATTACACAGCCTGTACAACTTACACGACATAATATCTCACCCTTCTTCGGGATTATAGCGCTTGCGATTTCCCTTGGCGTTATGAAAACGACGCACCGCCTCCTACAAAATAAAACACCATAATTGACTTTATGAACAAACTCTCTCATCCAGCTGTTCACAGCTCGTCAGATGTGCTAGTCGTTTAGAGCTTAGCAGTTAGCGGTGGCTTCTCTCTGCCTCTCCTGCTCGGGGTGTTTGTGCGGCTCTCCTCTGCCTCCTTAACGCACACGCCGCATACATGCACACATACATACCGCAATCTTGGGATTGTGCGCCCGTCTTTTCCTCTTCTCCTCCACACAAGCGCGGGAGTTCACTACTTCTTCTAAAGCGGTCATCCTCTCGTCTATGGAGTGCAGTTTTGCGTTTACCGCTGTTAGTTGGTCATTCACATCAGCAGCAAACCGAGCCAGCTGACGAGACAGCCCTCTCATAGCAGTGAGCAGTTTGTGGTCTCTGCTGTCCGGAGCAGCCAGCCCCGGTCTGTGCGGAGGAGTTCCCGGAGCGATGGAAGAGAAACGACGTCCCGGCATTGCACGGAAAATCCAAGCCGCCAACACACGGTGTCCTAAATCTACCCAGCCTGACAACTTCTCACCAAGCGGAGAATAACATGCTTATATGGTAATAAGAGACGCTCTTCGCGAGGTTCCTCCAATCACCTGCAAGATCCTGGTCACATGGAAACCTCATCCAATTATATGCGAGGCTAAGGTCACAGGTACTCCCGGCCGGTGTGGCGTCCCCCACCCCCAACCTCATTTGCATTTTTATAACTTACAGCATTTTCATTTGCGTGTGAAAGCCTCCACCTTACCTGGGTGGTGCCAGGCTTCTCTGACATGCAAAACTAGCTGAAATTCAAGTTCAACATAGATTCCCAGCAGTTCCTGATTTTATGTGCTGCCTACAAATTCCTGATCTCTACCTGCACCTCTGCTGCAATTCACTGTGCTGCTTACTTCAAAACCCCCACTTTCATGTGGTGATGTTCTTATTAGCGTTTTACTGTATTACTTGAATTTTATTATCTTCTAATAATAACAGAAACACAATGGTGGTGTTTACATATGTTGGGCAACATAACCTGCTGAAGTTCAAGAAAACATCAGAATGGAGAAACTGATAGGAAGGCAACGGCCTGTTACAGCAGAGGTATGCAGATCTCTGAATGCACACCAGCCACAGGAGTGATGGTGTCACTCCTGCCAGCAAAGAATGGAAAAATTAGACTACACAGGCTCGTCAAAACTTGCCAATTCATGTCAGAGGTGTTTTGTAAGATTAAGGTCAGGACGTTGTGGAGGTCAGCCTTCCACATTTAACTCGTTCATCCATGTCTTTATGGACCTTGCTTTGTGTATAGTCATGTTGCAACAGGAAGGGATCATCCTCAAACTGTTTCCACAATGTTGGGAGCATAAAATTGCTGAATATTGATGTTTTAAGATGAATAGAATGATACAATTAAGAATTTCATCCTGTTATAACATGTTCAATTCTGCTTTTGTTTTTCCTCAGAACTATCAAAACTCACCCGGTGTTCATAAAATGGCACGGACATGAGATTCCTGCTTTCATGTTTCTGCTTTTTCCACTCTTGGATGACAAAATGGACAGTCCCCATAAGTGATACTGTGACTACATAGGTGCTACGACAGGGGGAAACAAGGCTGTGATGTTCCCCTCTCGTCAAGCCTTCCATTCTCACTGAAGCATTTTTCTGAGGATTTTAACAACTCTCCGAGCCTTTACTGTAGAGTGAAAAGTCTGGACACACATGAAGGTGTGACTGTGTCACACCTTCATACCGTACATATTATCAAATGTTAACAGAGGCTTATGTCTTTGCAGGGATACACAGACAGAGCCCAGACATGAGGATCTCAAGTGATGAGCTTACTGATTCACTGCAGTAATCAGAACCACTACAGTTTGTAAACTACATTATTTTTCTGACACCATTTTCTTTGCATTTCTGTGGGGAAAAAAAGTTACCAGAAGTAAACCTATAAATACAACATCAGTTAATTGCGTACTTATAAGGTCTGTTTGAAGAATTCATGATGTAATTTCAAGCCTCATTTTATGAAATTCTTCTTTATGTGGAGATTTTATTTGTTCGCCCCACACAAGTCACTTTCTTCAGTGTTGGTCTTCCTGCAGCCTTCTACTCAGCAAGCCACAGTGAGTGCACCCTGCATCATCAATTAGTACTAAATACTTAAAGTACTTTGGTCTTAACAGAAAACTAGAGATTAGTGCTAATTAACATGTAGAGAAATCCTGGAGTTTCGGTTTTTTAAACTTAAAACTCATAACAGTCATTTACAGTTCAACCTGTACGTGTGTGATACACGCCATATCTTTTTATATGCAGTAGCTTTACTTTTTTATAATAAAAATAATAATAAATCATACAGATTACAGTTAAAATCAATCAGTTTTTTGTTGTTGCCTTGTAAATATTAGTCAGTGTCTTGTTTATGTAGATGTTTATTTGTGACATTTTACACATGTCTAAAAGACTTGCTGATCTGAAGAGCCAACAGTGCAATACCGACTATAATCATGTTCTTATTAAATATGTACTTTGCAGACTTTTATACTTCTACTTGTGACTTTCAACTTTCAAATGCTAAAGGTGTCCCATCACATTAACTGGTTTTATTCCTCCTACACACATATACGCACACACATTACTGTATATCTTGGTTTTGTTCTTACTTATTAGAGTGGCTGCTGAAAATTGAATTTATACATGACCCAAATAAATGATTCGGTATTCTACATCAAGAACATCAACATCTTTTTATGATGTAGGCGTCAGTGGTAAGATTGACTTGTAAACAGATTTTACCAAGCAGGAAGTACTGCAGTTCAATCAAGTCTGTTCAGTCTAATAGTTACTATTTAGGACCACCATGTGGAATAAAATTGTTTTACACTTACAGGATTTATGATGTGCATACTATAAATATTGTAAAATGTAATTGTTGCATTGAGTGTTGTATTGAAATAAAGCTTTAATTGGCCGCAGGCATCTTGTAACAATATTCATTGTTCATTCATCAATCCCATTAACAAATTAATTCACAAGCTGAACCAGTCTCATTACCTCTTAGCTGATGGAATGACAGAAATGTCATTTTTTCTCCCTGCCATCCTTTAAAACATTTTTTTTAAATTTCACATGCTATTAATTTGATCAGTTGTGTTTTTACAACATAAACAGTGCAACAACATGATTGCTATAAATAATTAAAATTATTTCAATAAAAAACATTTAGTTTTCAAACGTTTTAACACTCCTGAAAACAGGTTTGCCTTAAGATGACGGTACACTGAGCTTTAAACTTGCTTATTTTCTTGAGAGGAAGAGGGCACATGACAAAATGCAGAGACTCAGCTGGATTTAAACACAGAGGCGTAGATCACAGAGTCGTTGTTTTCTCTTGCTTCGGACCTGAGGAGAAAACAGTGGAGTGAACAATGTGGTTGGGTCTCAGTCTGAAGCTGTGTCAGGTGTCACTTCTGTGATAACCTTTATGATGACACACCGATAGCAACACTGAGGCAGTTTAAGATCAGTTTTGTTATCATGGAGTGTGGTTGTGTCTCCTTTAGTAACGTTTCTAGAAATGTGCAGGCTTTAGTCACTGTTATAAAGATAAATCTTAATTTTTTTATCTGTGATGATTTCAGTTATTTTGCTTTAGTTGGAGACGTGTGTGGAAACCCTACAATGCTGTGCTGTGAACATTTTAGAGTTTGGAGAGGAAGCATACCAGGAGTGCTGTGGCCGTCTGTTGGAGTTCAGGTGATGTGGAAAACTGGGGTCTTTGGGCCTGATGGTCACTGTGGAATAGGTAACCTCATCTTCATAAGAAGCGGTATCCTAAGAGAAAGAAGAAGTTGATGTAATATGAGTGTGTTGTGTTTAGCAGAAATGCTGAACAGTTACGACTGTGGATCATTACTTACATCCCGGTGTGAGCTCCTCTGTGAAGCCGTAGAAATGGCCTGAGGAGGGACAGAGGGAGTCGAGGATGGAAGCGGGTGGATGTTAGCATAAGTGGTGTCAGGTGGATCTTCGGCGGCTGAAGATCTTGATCTTGTTCTGATGAGCCTGGAGTCAAACACTCTCTGCCAGAGTGGACACATCCAAATCATCACTCCACTAGAATATTTGGTCTGCTATCTGTGTGTGTGTGCATGCTCTTCAGCGGGATACTTCCCAAACCTGTGTGTAACTGACAGATATGGCTTATTTAAAGATTTGTTTGCATGTACTCACTTTCTTGTCTGCGCTAGTCTTCTGTTTCTTCCTGCCATGACAACAAAATTTAAAAAGATAAATAAATCAAGAGTTAAATATGTCAAAAGTTGTGCCAACTCAAGCCAGAACAGAACGTTCTACGTTGCTCAGTCACGTTTCCTAATGTTTAAGGGAAGCTGTTATGTAATACTAGCAAACACAGGCAGCTTACATGCTAAAATACTGCCTTCTAGGAGTTTCTTAATATATCAAAACTAACTAAATGTACAGACACAATCTATAAATCTATAAAGAATCCATGAAAGTCGTTTTATGTATAGTAGTGACCTTCTGTGCTGATATGGACCCTAGCAATGAATGCTCCCCTCCCTACTAAATGCCAAGATACCGACTGTCAGTGTAGAAATATGCTGCGGTGACTGATGTGTTAAAAATGGCAGCAGCAGAATGGAAATTCAGATGACACACACGGTGCATGTTAACACTCATTACAGCATTAGGTAAGACACGTTTTTAAAAGTTCTGCAACACGTGAAAAAAAATACAGTGACATAAGAAATATGCACATTTAAGTAAGAGTATAAGTGCAAAAAATGACATGAGTCAGCCTCACTAAAGCCTCACTCGCCATCTCTTACTGACTCACCGGAACAGAAGAAGCGCCACCACTAGTGTCACAAGAAGAGAAACTCCAATTCCAGCCAAGACTGGGAGGGACTGCCCTTCTGAGGGGAAAGCACACACTCAGCTTGGAAATAACATATAGTCAATCAGCTCGATAAATTTCAATAAAGGAATTGAGGCAATTTAAGATTTATTTTTAATATCAGATTAAGAGGTTGTGGTATTTTGCACAGATTGCCTTTTGAGGATACAACGAGCATCTGTAAGTATTGGCTCCTACCATCCTGCTTTCTCTGCATGGACAGCAGCACCTGAGTTGAGTTGCTCTCCCCGAGACTGTTCCTGACCTTGCAGAGGTACACTCCACTGTGGGACTCTTCCACAGAGGGAAGGGAGAGCAGCTGTCCTGAGCCCACCTGCAGCATGGAGCTGGTGGCGTCAGAGTCAACCATTTTGTACCATATGTAGCTGTCTGCTGAGGGGTTAGCCACACTGCTGCAGGTCAGATTGACACTGCTGCCCTCATCAAACAGCTGTGGATCCACTGAAATGGAAATGTTCGTTGGAGGGTCTGAAAAAGCCCAAACATCACGATTGTTAACAGATTTGTTATAAAAAGACAGGAAAAATGGTGATAAGTGATCAGCTGTTCACAACCTCTTCTTCTTTGAGTGCTAAAATCTGAAGAGACACATTACAACTAAAATAATTACATCTAAATGTGCTCTCTTGTCTCCCTAATAAAAACAGAAGAGATACACTTCTCAATAGCTTTAAGATCCAAAGTTTAAAGTAAAAAAACGATGACCCCCCCCCCGGCACACACACACACAAAAGCTGCTGACTTTAATTAATTTGGTTGCATGTAATCTTGCATCTAATTTTGATGCCTAACTTCAGTGGAAAATGTTACATTTGTTGGAATCTTGTTAAAGATTAATTCTTTGAATGAATAAACCTTAAGAGTATCAGTTAAACTAATTTCATCACGTATTTGTTAGGACAGGACAGACTTTGTCTTCCAGAAGTGATCTCTAAATTAAAGTGGACATGTAGGACTAATTTGGACCATGGAGCCCTAAAAAACTGTTATAGATTTAACTCTTTCCGTGAAGCTCAATTTAGGAAATAAATGTTTAAAAGAAAAGTTTTTAGAACCCACATAAACCCACCTAAACACTAAAAAACAGTCTAAGGGGGTCACCTTAGACTGCAACAATTAGATTTTTAAAAAATGTGTTTCTGGTCCTTTCATTCATCAGTCTCTTCTCCCTATGGACAACACTAAAGAACTTGTTAACTTGTGAATAATCAGGTCTTAGAAAATTTCCTTTTTAAGTAGATGGTGAAACCAGTTAGACGACATGTGTGCTTTACTGTAAAAAGTTAAAAAATGATGCATCAGCATGGATATTTTAATATCACTTCCTCCAGACTGAACTTTTTGACACATTGTGACAGCAAACAGACAGACTGTAGCAATCATCAGGAAGTTGTGATATCAGTCAGTTGAGGATTGCCTTTGAAATGTCTGACACTGTACTCATGACCACGTGTCTAATTGCCCTCCTAGATAGCTTCCAAGTAACCAGACACACTCACATCTAACGTCAAGGTGAACCTCTGTCGAGTTGATCAAGTCGATGCCCCTCCAGCTGATGTTATTCCATGCCTGGCAGTAGTACCATCCTCTGTTGCTGGGGAGGATGTCAGAGATGATGTAATTCTGCCCTGAACTGAGAAGCTGTCCATCCTTATACAGGCTGTATCCGCTGTGTGCCACAGGAGGGTTGGCATCGCTGCTGCAGGTCAAAGTCGCTGTCCCTCCACTGCGGATGTCTCCCCATGGACTCACTGATAGTGTCACTTCTCTGGGAGCGTCTGCTTGAGAGGAGATAAGGAAGTGTAGCCACATGGATGATAAATCCTCATCGTAATGATGGAGTCATTAAAAGTGTCAATACATGCAACAAAAATAAAATACAATGAAGGAAAATTTCAGTATTTTACTTCCCCTTTTCTGTTTTTAAAACTAATTTTTACAAGCCACAAAAAAACTCCTCTGTCATCCTGCTGTCTCTTATCTCATCGGCATTGGCCACAACAATGGTGCTCATGCTGGATAAAACATAACCTTATCTGACCTTATCTCACACTTAGATCAAACTTCAAGCAGCCTTTAACCTAATTTCCCAGAGTAAAGGTGATATATTGTGATGTCCAAGTGAGGATATGTAAAAGTACAACTTGAGCCAATTTCTGGACAAAATTGTCCAAAAATGATTCTAATAATTCACATGATCAAAGTTATTGAAATATTATGATGAGATTCAAGTGTATTCCTGTAACAATTGGTCTTCCTCACGGGAGACAGAAAGAAAAACACAGTCATATATAATAAAGTTAATCATATATTCATGTAGCACGTGAATAGAGCGGGGCCTGTAACTTGAATTCTGTGGTATGCTTTCTTAACCCTCTACTCACATTGAACATTCAGAGCCACAGGTGCGGATCTGACTGATTCCTGTCCATGGACTGCACAATAGTAGTCCCCAGCATCCTCTCTCCTGGCCTGGAAGACTGGATTTGACACAGGTTGCCCATCTCTGAACCAGACAATGTTTTTAGGCTCAGGACAGCCTGACATACAGGTCAGCGCGACACGACCTCCCTCTGTCACAGTGCTCGGCTCGATGACTGTGGTCAGCTCTGATAAAGAAACATAAATCAATAAATGTTTGCTAAACTCATCGAAACAGAAATGTTCTCGTAATTAGTTGTTACCTCCCACAGACAAGTACATCGGTTTTATGCTCATCCATCTGTTGAATGTTGTGGTAAAACGAAAATAGTAAGCTCCTTCATCAGTGTGTTGTACATCATTGACCTTCAGACTGCAGTCGCCGCGGAAGTTTCCCAAATATTTAAAGTGGTCCAGACTTGAAGTAAGTTTATCAAGACGAAAAAGTCCCCATCTGCCAGATGCATACAAGTTTTTAAACCAGCTGACAGAAGTAACAAAGTGACCTACAGGGTAGTCATATTTGCAGTTGATCAATACTGATGTTCCTTTCAAAGCACACTGATTTTCAGACGTCACACTCCAGTCTCCGCTCCAGACACCTTTGGACAAAAATGCAGAAAATGAAGAAAAATGTATTTCCAGAATTAGCGCTGCAGTTCCATTTTAGTCATCACATATCGTGTTTATTAGATTAAAAAAATAAATCTCCTCACCTGGCGTTATTACCAGAATGATCAGGCTCCAGCTTTCCATTATTTGAAGTTTTACCTGCAACAATCATGACACAGGTCAATATACACCAGCTGTCCCAAAAAATAAAGAAACCATGAGTTAGTGATCAGAAGTACTCACTGGCTGAAGCAAAGTGGCTTATTGCGTTACACATTCTTCATTTTTGTGGTGCAAAAAGCAGAAGTAGGCACACATCCTTTCGTTGCTTCCTCTAATGTCACACTTTCAGAATGATTATGAAAAGTTATAGTTTCATTTTTTTTAAAAACGGATATCAACACAAATATTTCAATTTATAATTAACCTATTAAAATGTTTCCATACTCTATTAAACAAGCATTATCTAATAATTGTATTTAAAAAAAGACAACTAATTGATACAGCTTACATCTAATGAAGATGTTTTATTTATTTAAGATGATCAACTCTGACTTCGACTAACATCACTTTAAAATGACTGTTCTTAATTAAGGATTTCTCATTTGTTGAATGCCCGCTGTTCTAGCTTATCGCCTTTTTTTTGCCGAGGAAAGGAGTCAAGGATGTAGGAAGGGCTTGTAGACGACCTGAAATATATTTTTCCCACCAGGTGGGGCTACCGCTCTATTTAAGTGAAGCTGGAGAACCCACCGGTGTCTTCATAGATATTTTTTGCAGCGCTGTGATCGTCTTAATGTATTTTCATGTGATACCTCTGTGTGCAGCTGTCACTCTAACGCTGTGGCATTGGATTGTTTTGTGTTTTGGATCTCGCAGGCGTTTAAGTATCAAAAGCAATGGATTTTAAGAGCATGTTTCATGACTCATTCAGGTTTGTGGTTCTTGTATCCAACATAAGTGAATTATGCTGTGCACTGTGGTTGGTGTCCATGAACAGGAAGAGCCTGTTCTCAAAGGAACAATCACCATGTGATTTCCTCTCCTCTCCGCTGTATTTAACTAAGGCATTATTAAGGTACTTTTATATCGTGCGTCCAACAGGATGATTGTAACATCATGATTTGTCATGACTGATTTCTTAACGTTGTCTTTTCTGGACACATTGCCCCACGAAATATTGCAATTGCTGCAAAAGAAAGGAAATGTTACAAACTGCACATTAGTGACACATTTATAGGCAAAAACATTTTCTAAACTTTGAAAGTTTGAAGCTATAGGATGAAGTTCTGCATCAGGTCAAATATGTAGACTCTTTCAGAAAGAGTGAGTGAGCCTCTAAAGAAATGTGTGTACAAATCTGGGACTCATCAATACTTTCTTGAATTTGTTCGTACTCTACGAGCAAATGTAGAAGCGCTTCAGAACATATGAACAAATGATAAAAGCCTGGATGTCTTAGAAAATTTAGTCACACATCTTTAAACTGAGCACTACAACTACTAATTCTATTACTAATACTGGTTATTATAAGTTTCTTCATCATTCAAAGGTTTCCAAAACACTAAAAGCTTAAAGTGCTCAGAATTAGAATGAAATATGTGACAAATGTGAACACTTTTAACCTTTTTATTAATAAGCATATAACAGCTAACAAAGGCATTGTGGTGTCTAATCTTATCTCATCTTAAAATATTCTTCATTTCCATCCAGCAAGTATGGAAGATGAAGAGTATAGTTTCATTTCTCCACACTGTCCCAGCTTTGCTCGTGATAGTGGATGTTTTTCAATAACTGCAGTGCAGTTTCTCATCTGAGGCTGACACATCCTTATCCTCAACTTTTTTTCCCCCAATATCAATTTAGATATATTCCAGCCCAAGCCTGGTGTTTTCTGCTTAAAAAAAGGGAAACAATCACTTTAGAGTAAAAATGCACTTTTTCTTCAGAGACTATAGTTTCAGTAGCCTCAGTCAGACTTCATTTATGAATTTATTTCCATTAATTTCAAGATAAAGAGATTTCTTTATATAGAGAAAAGAGGGTGTGGTATGGAGATTATGGTAGCAATCAGGAGTAGTTGAGAGTGAATCCAACAAACGCGGTGATAACTGGGACAATACTGGTTCATGTTTGAGGTTTCACTTTCTTTCTTTTTTTTGCGCAATAAGAACATTTAGGTTAGTGAATGAGACCCAATATGTGCTTATTTTTCCTTTTCAGGCTTAAAATCTAAAGTGTTGCGAAACAAGACGTGGATCACCACAAGAAGCAAGACGTTCTTGAGTCGATCCATGTCACTGTGGAAAGTCTCAAATGTCCGGTGAAAACCGTGCACAAAGTACACAGTCATAGATAAATACATAAGATTCTTGTGAGAGTTAATTGTTTGAAATATTTATTATTTTATTACAAATGAATTAGATGATATTTTAAAATCAGCAGCAAAGAAAAACAGACATGCACAACTGATTGATTTGATTTTATTTTATTGACAGCTCATTTGCATTGATTGGATATAATACAAGCTCTATCAACTGCACAAACATCTAAATTTAGTGGAGAAGATCAATCAGTGCGGGAACTCATCAATGTGAAGTGCTGTATATCCTTTATGCATGTCAAAAATGATTCTACACGATTTCTCCCTCAGATATCAAGCTCTTATTTTCATACAAATCATCACTGCAAATGATAAAGTAGCAACCGCTAATAATTGGTCATCAAAAATTCCACTGTTAAGTATCAACAAACAGGCAACACTAGAAATATGGCAACCTGCAACGTGGAGTGCAAGCAAAAAGGCATTCAGTGTTATTGCTGTTCAGATGCACAGAAAGAAACAGCAAAGTTAGGAGCTGGACTCCAGGAAAGAACACATGCTTCTCTCTTAGTGAATCCATAATGTGACACAATCCGAGTGTCTGATCCAAAACGGTGTACGGTGTCACCAGGGTGAGTTTCCTGTCCCTCGAGTGGACAGAAGCAAAGTGATTTGCTCAAATGAGGAAAGCTGATGTGCCATTCAGCTAAGAAAGAAAACAGGAGAAGAGAATAAAATATAAAACCTGCACTTAAACAGGGAGCGTGTCCAGGTAAGAAAAGCAACAACAAACCTACATCACAGTGCTGTTGCTGTTTTTGACACGAGCAGCTGTAAGTGACTTACCTGAAGCTGCTTCCTCCTGGTTAGTGACGAGGCTGGGGCAGTAAAGTGTAAACAACTTTGGAGGAATCCTTTGGTTTTTTATCAGCACCCAGTGGCCGGTTGTGCACCTGCACCTGATCTGTGCTGCACGGACAGCAAACAGGAACCACATTAGTTCATCTCACATCATATCATAAAAGTAACAGGTCAACATAACATAAAGCAATAGTAGAAAACAGCACAAGTAACAATAGTACTGTGGACCTAAACGTTGGAGAAACAAATCGACAGTGAAACAGGAAGTGGGTCTTAAATTTGGGGATGATTACTGGGGAAAAGTAATTGGCAGAATTCATACCTCACCCTCATGAAAAAGACTCGCCCTTATTCAGGTTAAGACCGTATACAGATTGCATTTGTAAAAATCGAGACGATCTAAAACATATCCCGGCATCCTTTTAATGCCTCTGCCCGTGATTTAACTTGCATGTTCTTTACCAGCTCAGTCATGCTGGACTTTTTATTTTGAGGTGCTTGCGCATGTTTTGATCGTTGCGCTGAAATCTCATCCACTAGTTGTCATTTTTGGTCTCTGAGGATTCCACTCTAAACCTTAGTTGTAAGCTGATGGATGTTTATGCATTTACTTCAGTGTTGATGTAGAATTTTGCTGTCCTCACCCTCCAGCTACATCACTTTGGCTGAAAGATGTTTTTTTTTAAACTGGGAAAAATCTAATTCAGGCTCAGAGGGAATGCTAATAGGTTCTTATACATGTGGCAGCTGTTTATCATTTATTTTAACTGCTTGAACACAATTGCACTAGGCTAATTTTGAGTGTATGTTTTTTAAATTTAAATTTTTTTTATATATTGGGTGGGACCTTTGGGATGGGGAAGGTTTGTAGTTTGCGTAGTATGGGAAAAAGATATGCAGGTACAGTATGCTGTACCTGGACAACCTGGAGTAGTGCACAGTGATGTAGTTGGAGGCAAGGCTGCAACTTTGACCTTCTGTGATTGGTGGAGCATCCTTCAGAGGAACAATGGAGGGATGGGAGCTGTCACTCAAATCCTCTGGCTCCTCCAACACACACACACACACACACACACACACACACACACACACACACACAAATGCAAAAACTGCATTTCTCATCCATAGCCATGTGTGCCTCGTAAATGTTTTCTCACCGGTATGTCGGACATCTTGCCCTTCCTCACTGGGTAGATATGTTCAGCTGACTCATAAAACATAGTGTCAGCTGTCACTGATGGACACTGTGGGGGACACGCACGAAAACACACACACAGCAGAGAAAACTGAGAATTAGACTTACAGCAAAACTACAGCAAGAAATGAAGAGATAGAGCAATTCCATAACTGATCAAAACCAATTAAACAAAGATCACTGTACCTTGTTTGTCACGTCTACTGACTCTGTGTCTACTCTGTGCATGTTTTTACTGGGAAGGTAAAGAAAAGGGATGGTTAGCAAGTGACAACCCCTCTAACAACACTAATACAAATAAGCCAAAGGGAAGAAAAACGAGCAACTGACAAAACTGTCATATGTTCCTCCTTAAAACAGAGGAAGAAATTGTGCTTTTTTTTAATGTCTGCGTAAGATCACAGAAATAGCCCAGGAGTAGTAATGGATAAATAGCAGTGTTCTTCCTGTCACCTGATCATAACAGCCACTGTCAGTGTGATGAGTCCAGCAGAAACACCCACTGCTGAGGCCAAGGCAATGACCTTTAAACGACCTGCCAATGGAAGGATTACAAGGGTTATCAGTGTGACTAGAGGGGGGAAGAAAGGAGATGAAATGATGGAGTACAGAAGTGCCGCAAGCTAAAAAAAGATCAGAAATAAAAATAGAAAGTGTATGTGACTAAAGAGGGAAAGAGCACGGCATTAGTTAGCCGCTGTCTAGACTTTAGTCTTGTGTTTCCAGTCCTGATTTCCAAACCCAGCTCCACTTCTTCGGCTGTCTAGACTCACAGAGTCGTTTTCCACAGCACCTCATCACCTCCTCCTCCCCCCTTGTAGAGAGAGGGCTTTAAGTGACTCACCATGACTCATACAAAAA